AGAGACGGCGGTGGGTGTGGACCTGTGGCCCCACGAGTGTTTTGTCAAAAGATCACGGTTCACTTCCACGTTGGACAAGTTGATAGCTGTGTGGCGACGGTGTGTGGACGAGTCGTGGCGACACTCGCACAAATAAAGAACAACCAGGGGAAAAGGGAATAAGTAAACAAAATAATAAAACAATACTTTAAAACCGAACGTCGTTGCTGACTCACTCCTGAGTCGTGGCGACACTCGCACAAATAAATAACAACCAGGGGAAAAGGGAATAAGTAAACAAAATAATAAAACAATACTTTAAAACCGAACGTCGTTGCTGACTCACTCCTGAGTCGTGGCGACACTCGCACAAATAAATAACAACCAGGGGAAAAGGGAATAAGTAAACAAAATAATAAAACAATACTTTAAAACCGAACGTCGTTGCTGACTCACTCCTCTCTCATCTCGCCTCGTCACTGACACCTTTATGAGTTTGTTCTAGATGTTTACTGCTCAGCTTGCTTCTAATGTCTATCCACTTGGCTCTTTTGTCGATCCACTTGCTTCTTCTGTCTATCGCCAGATACGTCTCAGTTCTTCCGTAAGTGAGATTGTCGTTCCTGCCATTTAAGGTCAACAACCTCGCCTTCCACCCAATAAACGAGGGGGGGGGGGGGAGGGCTCTCGTGGTCTACAGGTAACCTACGATGTCCGCCTCTCCTTCAATAGTTCCGGGGTTCAAATCCTGACAGTGACAAGAAATTTTCTTCGAAAAGAAAAAAAAAATAAATGTTCTTCTGTCACCTCATTTCCTGCTCTCTAGCATTGTTCTGTCTTTTGCTTTCGTCTCCGCTTTCTGCCCCCACCACCTCACCTCCTTTGCCCCCGTCCCCTGGGCTCATGACTCTTTCTGCAGCCTTTCTACTGCTACTCCTTGGCTCCTTCTTACTGCTGTCTTTCAGCCACCTTCCTGATCTTTGGGTGGGTAAGATCTAACACCTAGCCGTCTCGGATAAGGGCGAAAAATCTCGGAGAACACGTGTGCAAGTTGCAAACGTTAAAGATTCCTTGGTGGTCTAAAATCGATACGAGTAGGCGCGGGAGAACCCCCCCCCCCCAAACAAAACACACACACACACACACACACATACACACACACACACACACTCGTACAAACACACACACAGACAAACAGTCTCATCTGTATACATCCGCATTCTTCGCCCACTCTCTCGTTCCCACCGACAACAGCGCCCTCTGCAATGTCTGCCAGTCTCTCTCTCTCTATCATAAATCTGGGATTATATAATGTACTAGATCTACGTATATATTATATCATGCACAGTGAGATTGCACACTTGTTGGAGACAGAACGGAAGTAAGTTTGTAGCTACTCGACTGTTGTTGTTGTTGTTGTTGTTGCAGCTGTTGTTGTTGTTGTTGATGATGATGTTGTTGCTGTTGTTGATGATTACAGTGGTAGTGGCGATAGTAGTTGAGCTGTTAGTTTTGCTTTAAAAAGACAGTTTGGGAAACAAATAAATTCTGACATATTGCTACCTCAGAATTACAAAATTCTATCTGACATTTTTGGCCGTTTTGAGTTACTAAGACCACGAGGTCAGACACCAAAATGTTCTATCTGCACGAACAACGTCGTAAGATCATTCGGAGTCGTTGTCAAGATATTCTAAGAATTGCTTTCGAAAAATCTTGACATGTTCTGAAACTCGCAATCTTTGAAATCAAATTTCTCGAAACTAGGAACTGAGCAGATTACAACTTTGTACTTCTGGGGTAGTGAAATGTTCCTTGTGAGTCGCATCTTGGAAACTGTCTCCAGCTGTCTTCTCCAACTGTCTTCTCCAACTGTCTTCTACAATAGACTGTCTAACAGAGTAAACATATAACTACATCGCCCTACCCCCTTACCCCCCTGGGG